TTCCAAATGTTGCATAAAAGCGCTTCAGCACTATGTCGATCAAGCTGTTCTTAATGCCCTGGTTATTTCACCCCAGTCAGAAAAAAAGCTCCCCTTTGCTAGTGTTACTAATTATTTCCTCGTCAACGCATTGATGGCCCCCAGCCCTGAGCTCATCTTCGCACAAACAAACCTGATTGCTTCGGCAGAAGAGAGGGGAGGAGGGGGCCTCGCCAGAGCCCAAATCAAAGCCGCGTTTGCAAAACACACAGAGCTTCAGAATGCCCATCACTGAGTCCAGACTGGCAAGAGGAAGGGGTGGCTGGGCTGAAGACAAGGCAATGCTGGGGGGTGGTCTCACTGGTGATTGCCCAGGAACCAGCTGCCCCAGCCCGAAGCCATGCCATCACACTCGGGCTCTGGCTCCCCCCCCCCAGGTAGCTGGTGTGATCCTCCGCCCCCTGACTGCTTGCTTGGGAGCCACAGTTTTTTAAGGGGGACATTACAAATCTAAGCCTTCAAGCTCCTTTTTAACTGCTGGTGGGGAGGAATTTGGAACTTGGGGAGAAGCAAACATGCACGGAGGTTTTCATTTTATTTTCCTTTCCCTTTCTTTGTTTCCTTCCTTCCTCCTTCCTTTCCCTTTTCACCATTTCTTTCTTTCCCTTTTTTCCATTTATTTTCCTTTTTTGGATGCCCTCTATCCATGCCTCGGCTTGGCATCAGGGAGGGAGGGAGACCGGGGGTGTATCTCAGTGCTGGCGGTGGCAGCAGCATGAGCATTTTTTAGTTTTATTTGATTTTTTTTTTTATTTGTTGTGATGTCAGTGCACTTTTTGTGATGTCTGTGCAAACGTGTGGGGTTTGGGGGGGCACTTTACCCCCAGGCCCCCCCCACTAAAAATGTCCTAGCCTGCTTGATATCCAAATCCCTTTGAACCCATAAAGTGTTTTGTTTCATTTTAAATTTATTTGGATATGCTTGCTGAAAGAGGAATTTCATAATTCTACATCCATTCATGTTTCTCAAGCTATTTCGCTTGCTGAGCCTGTTTATAGCCCTTTCTGGCAAATGTGTTTGGTCCATAATTTTGTTATGCTAGTAAGTAATACTATTGTGAAGTCTTGGTGCCAAACTAAGCATTACAAGCTTGATCAGATCTCCCAATGTTTTCCTGAAAATAAAAAATTCAGCTGGGAGAAAAGATTTTTGGATTGGGACCATGGTGCTGTGATATAGAGGTTTTAACCCTTCCCTTCTCACCATTTCCCAGTAAAAATCCCAGAGCGGTCTTAGCTACAGAAAAGGAAAGGATATCCATCCCCCCAGTTGCTTTTTAATATCAAAGAAAGTATCAGGCTATCCAATGACAGGTCATTGTGTAATGAAAATAATGGCCCAAATTTGCTACAGTCAGGTTTTTTTAATCCCTGTATTTATAGCAGAGACTTACCTGCTTACCCCCACTTCTCTAAGTCATTAAATCCATCAACAGTGCTACTGAGATTTCATTTAATATTTCAGATCAACAAACACACTTATTACATACTAGGAGTAAGGCCCGTTGTGGGGAAAAATACAATGAGCTCTAGAAAGAGGCTTCAGGTGAGTGCCCCGGCTGTGGCTGGTGGGGCAGCAGAGGGAAGGGGGAAATAGAGGAAGGCGAGCCATGTTTATTTCCTTCTGCTTAGCTATAAGGCAGGGCTGTCTCAAGTCATTTTGCTGCCCCAAGTGGGTAATAGGGGAGGAGAGCTGCATGCCATGTTTTCTGGGTCTCAAGGGTCTGGAAAGCGGTTCCATAGCCAATTACAGGCTTGCCAGCTCTGGGTTGGGAAATACCTGTAGATTTGAGGGATAAAGCCTGGGGAGGGCAGGGCTTGTGGTGGGAAGGGTCCTCAGCAGGGTATAATGCCATAGAATCCACTGCCCAAATCAGCCATTTTCTCCATGGGGACTGATCTCTGGAGATCAGTTGTAATTCAGAGAGATGTCCAGGCATTCCCTTTACCCCCAACCCTTCCAAAGCTGCTTTCTGGTTAACACTTTAACTGTAACAGTTTAACTGACTCCCTGCTAATGCCCCACAGCCTCTTGGAACTCCCAACTTGGGAGTTGTAGTTCTAATTCCCTTTGCTATGGTTGCAGTAAGGCCAGCAGAAAACTACAACTACAACTCCCAAGATGCAACATGTCAAAAATGGGGGGGGTGAGAATAGAGGAGCTGGCGGGATGGACCAATAGGACACCAAGGCAGCTTCCCCAGTGGCCAATGGGAAAGTAGGTGAGTCATCGCCAGCACGGCTTGCCTATATATATAGAAGCAAGCAAGATCCTAAAACCTAGCAGCAGCCCTTCTAATCTTCCATCAGCTCTCCAAACAGCAGCTTGTTCCAGCTAGGGTATCTCAGCCCCCAGTTTATTTTTCTGCATATTCAAACTGAAAATTGATTCAAATGGTTTCTTTGCACTGCCCCACTCTGATGAAATTACATTTCAAGAACTGTAGAAAGATTCTCAATCTTCATGGAAACGTCTTATTAGCACCTGTTGAAGAAACATTCTGCTTTTGCTATTTTTTATTTTAAAAAGTACCTTTCCCAGTATTTATTGTGTCAAATATAATTACTAAAGAGGTATGACCCCTTTGATAAAGGTACTAATTCCTCTCATTGCTTCCCAGTACAATTGTTCTTTGAGTATTAAATGGCCCAATTAGTTTTATGATTTCCCAGAAGCCTTTACTGGATATCATGTGTGTAATGGATTGGAATCCAAAATTCAAAACACTAAATAGCAAATTAAATTAAAACATTTATTTTATGGAGACTTTGTGTGGCTAGATTTTGGGAATCTTTTCCCTGCCAGGAATTTTTATTGGAATATGTTAGAAATATTGAAGGTCAGTGTCTCTGAGCATATACTGAGTCTTTCTCTTGAAAAATGCCTGCCTTGTTTAGTATCCAGGATATTCGGATTCTTCTGGTGATGATAGATGTGGATTGCATATCAATGAGCAACACTCTTAGCACCTTAATTTACATTTGCATGCAGATAGGCTAGACTTTATCTTTTGCTTTACAGGCCATGTATGAAAGGCGGGGGACTGCCAGACATCCTGGTAAACAATAAGACCAGCCTCCTTCTTGAATACAAGATAGGATAAAATGAAGATAATTAGCTGAACAGCTATTATAAAATGTGTGATTGTTGTTCCTTCATATTGCTTACTAGAAATCAATATTTATATTTCCAGTAGGCGTGTGTATTTGAAAACAGAAAATGAAAAAGAATTTGTTTGTGAAAGCCAATTCCAGCAATTAAGTTAACATAGCGAAAAAGGGGAGAAATTCCAAACTATTAAGGTTTTCCCCCACACACACACCTTTGGCACCACTTCTGTGAAACCCAGAAAATCTTCAAAGGGTTACAGTAACCAGGAGATCATAAAAACTTTGACTAGAAACATCAAGGACTAGGAACATGCCAAGCCTACAGAAATCAGCCTCTTCAGTCTTGTCTAAAAGGGATATATTGCATATTTCATTGTTCATTAAAGCATATGAATTGCAAGTAGACAATACAAAATATGTTCATGAACAATGAATTATGCAATATATCCCTTTTAGACAAGACTGAAGAGGCTGATTTCTGCAGGCTTGGCATGTATCTAGGAGAACCAGATAATGTGTAGGTTATGCTATGTAACTTGTGACCTCTCTTGTAAAGGGGATGTGGTGTAGGAAATACATGGTACAAGGAAGCATACATACATACCTTTAAAAATTGCTTGCAGCATTCCTCCTCCTTCAGATGCACTTATCAGCAAATCAAATGTTGATTGAGTCATGTGCTTTGTCCCTTGCTCTTTAGGTAAGCTATATTTTTATTTTTCATAGATGCATATAGATTTAAGCAAACAGCGATTCATTTAACCCTTGGAAAGGAAGGAGGGACTCAAACATTTTTAAAGAATAGAGTGTTGCTGGGAAGAGAATTCATGGTGTTGCAAGCCAGCAGCCAGTCAATGTTATGAAAAGCCTAATTTCCACTGTATATTAAATAGACCTTTAGAATAGAATAGTTTCCTGAACCTCAGCTTTGGGGAATGTTAGGTACACGTAACAAAAACATGGCCCATGCACTTCCAGAGCAAAGCAATTCTATCTTTGTTGCAAAAGAAGAACACAACAGATAGAGAAGTGAGGTTCATACTCAAGGAAGCCACCATAGCTAGCTGGACCTTTCCTTACAGTCAAATATACAGCAGGAAATTTTCCAAATCTCCACACACACATACCCAATTCGGTACAGAAAAACAAATTTGCACATGATACAATCAAACAGTCACAGGGTTCCTGTTTCAGATGAAGTGAAGAGCACACAGATACTGTGCAAATCAATAAGGGGTTGACCTGTTGCATTGGCGGTCATTGGTAGCAGATCGAAAATTGTAGACAATTTCTAGTCATCTGAATTAAGTAGCAAAGTAGCAGGTACCAAAGGGTTTGCAGAAGAACACCCTCACAGGTAATGTAGATGTTGATCTGAAAAAGACTAGAACTCATTTAAGCTCTTGTATCCCAGTGGAAGCTTGAGAGCTGTCAGAGCTCTGCCATTTAGTGAAAGCTGAAATGAACAGTGTTCCATATTGTATCTTAACCCTGTGAAACTGGTAAATGTCCTCAAATTATACCTTCAGCCAATTCAACCATTTGCCTAAAGGACGATGAGTGCTCTTAGGTAGGTTGGTGCATTAATTTAGAAAGAAGTTGAGACTCCTTGTTAGAAAGTCACTGCTCTTGGTATCAGAGTCCAACATCACATCCTCCTTCTTATACAGATATGGAATGTTCCCCTTGGTCTGTTTCAGGCAGATTTCAGGGACAACATAACCTCTGGGGCAGGATCCTCTGTTGAAGGTCACTATCAAAGGGATCTGGGGGTTGAATCATAACAAAGAGTGCATATATTACCCAATTAAGGTACTAATCAGTGTCAATACATAATGATAATCAATCAGTTTTCACTACTTGTGGCACAACAGTTAAACAGTATTCTACTAGATTCTTCATGAAATTTTACATAGATAAAATACCTCATTTGGGGTGTGGCCAGATTTCTCAACGATCGGCTGTAAACAGGTCAATTGACAGCAGCATTTAAAAATATGTTCATTCAATTTAAGTATCATAAAGTTTTTGTGACCTTTTTGCATAGGGAAAATCAGGGCTATTTTTGGGCCAGAGCGCCCTGGAACGGCGTTCTGGCTAGCTTCCGAGCTGCCCCTCTCCTCCCTGCCCCCTCCCCCTCCCTCCAGCGGCAGCTCTGGCTTTGGTGGTGGGGATGAGCAGCCTGCCTCAGTGAGTGGCGGCAGCAGCAGGAGCATCACCACCGTCCAACCCGGCAGCCAATCCAGGCACCCTGTGCCCTCCCACTCATCCCCAGCTCCAAGAGTAGGGGGGAGTACACAGCCAGGCGCACCAGCCAAGGCGAGAATGATGACGCAGGGCTCCCTCATGTGGGGGGCTCTGGCAGACAGCTGAATGGAACCCCCTCCCCAAAGGAAGACTGATGGGCCAGCCCTCCCTCCTCCTCCAGCAACCGAGCTCTGCTGCCCGGAGCCAAGCATGGCGGCAGGATCTGGTGGCTTCCCTGTCCTGCCTGCGGGGAGGGGGCACTCCTTCCAGCAGCAGAGGCTGCCCCTTTGCCCTGGAGCCCACCAGCTGCTGACGGTGGGACGGAGGGGGCACTGCTGCTGCGGCTGTGCTCTTCTGGGCCAGGAAGTGCCCTCTGGGCCTGGCAGGGCTCTGGCCTGGGCAGCACTTTCTTCCCCAAGGGTAGGAGGGCTTGGCTGGTGCGGCAGCCCAAGGAACACACGGGGAAGCCTTGCAGGCTGACTTGCGCCTGTGCAGAGAAGGGGGCAGGGAGCATTTGTGTGGTTGGGGGTGTACCTTGGTCTCCCCGCAGGCCAGACGGGCCGCACTCTTCCTCTGGCTGTCCCGTCAGACTGAAAGGGGGCCTCCTGGGAAAGCATCCCCCACTTTATTTTGGATGGAAGAACTTTTTTAGCCAGTGCATTTTCTTCCCTCCCTCCCTCCCTCCCAGAAGCATCCTTGCTTCTCTCTTCCTTCCTTTTCTCCTCACAACAACCCTGTGAGGTAGTTAAGGATGAGAGACAGTGACTGGCCCCAGGTCACCTGGTAAGTTTTATGGCGGTGGCGTGGTTAGAGGAGCAGGCTAGGATCTGGGAGACCCAGGTCCAGATCCTCACTCTGCCCTGGAAACTTGCTGGGTGACCTTGACACATGCTCAGGCTAACCTAGCCTAACCTGGGAGGGGCTGTGGCTCAGTGGCAGAGCATCTTCTTGGTGTGCAGAAGGCTGCAGGATCAATCCCCGGCATCTCCAGTCAAAAGATCTGGCAGTAGGTGATGGGAAAGACCTCAGCCTGAGACCCTGGAGAGAGGCTGCCAGTGAGTAGACAGGGCTGACCTTGATGGACCAAGGGGGTCTGATTCAGTAGAAGGCAGCTTCAGATGTGTATGTGTACCTCACAAGGTTGTTTGAGGATAAAATGGAGAAAGCAAGAACAGTGTTAGCCGCTTTGGGTTCTCCAAGTGAGAAATAAAACAAATAATAAATAAATTGGGGATCTGAACTCCATGACAGAGCAGAGATAGGAATCCTGGTCTTTCTGTTTGTATTCTAACCTATACTATACCATATACACCGTGGTTTTGGCCACTATGTGACACAGAAGCAGGCTTTATCAATTCAGTTTTTTCTAATTGGACTAAAATGTGGTTTAGTTTCCTCCCCCCTCCCCCTTAAGATTAAATAAAAGCAAAGTATATTGATGGAAATGAATGGAACACGTCCACACCCCAACAGAAGCATATCTTGAGAGGTCTTATTTGGTAGTTAATTGCATTTGGGGAAAGCACGTGTGTTAGAAAACGTATATGTGGGAAAGGTGTGTCTCTGTGTGAGAACAGGGCAGGGTGTGATGTTTGAAACCTCAAAT